CTTGGCTTCGTAGTATCGGTTATTGAACTCCCGCCTTTCCTTGTCGTAACTTGCATCCTCCTCATCAAAGTCATCATGAGACTTGATCTCGACTAGCGTCTCACCGAATTTTCATGACGAAATCGAATTTTGAGTAGTCGAGCGGTTGTTGACCAGCATCAAGAGACTCTACACGGACATCACAATCTGATTGAGTGGGTAAGGAGAATAGAAGCGGAGGATGATGCAAATCAATAGCAATGGGGAAACAGCTTCGTTAACTACAATATTGCTATCGGAATCACAGAAAACCAGATCCAGGAGACGCCGCAGGTGGTTGCCAATAGAGTTGTGTTGCCGGAAATTCAGGAAGTTCGTATCGCTGGCGGCAGACATCATGGAAGCATCAAGGTTTAAGATTCCGTCATCAAGCTATGATGATCCCATGCTATCCCAAGCAACAATTTTGGTTTTTGTGAGGGTTCTGCAGACCATGCTTTAGACTTGTAGAATGCTATAAAACCTCGATGTCTGGTTGGCTGGTTGATTGTAGTCACCACAAGCAAGCAAAAGGTCTCCATCAGGCATTGCGTTGCGTAATTCACGAAGAGTAGATAAATGGGCATCGATAACGGCTTTTTCCAGATTCACTGAGTGATGCCTCATAGCTTCAACTAGCTCTCGACTGTCTGGCTGAACAAGTGAAAGCGACAGACGTGGTGTATGGATGAAGATTTCCGTTAACTCATCCTCTTCCTCTGTTAAGTGTTATCACCGTATTTTCGGTGGTATGAGAGAGTAAACTAGCTATAGTTTTCCCCTTCTTACCAACGCAAATCCCACTGGTGGTGGAAGCGAACATTTCGACTGCTCTTCTTCTTCCACTATTCTTGCGTGATCAGTTTTCATCGAGCTCCGATCAGATCGACCGTCTTGCCAGAAAGTGCTGTGGAAGGCAAATTTGCTCATGAGCTGGAAAGTGATGTCCGTGCAAGAGAATATACATTTATTTCATCCGTCCGCTCTTCTGATTAGTTCGCAAAATATTCCTATTTTGTACGTTAAATTTCTTAATTGTTTAACTATGTCACATAAATTGCTGGATAGTGTCTCCGTCGAACGACATACTGCATGACATATTTCCCAATAATGGTTTTGAGAAATGTGCGTTTGAAAATCACCCCCATTTTCGTTTCAAACCTCATTTGCAATTTCGTAATGTTACCCTTCAGTATACTGCCTATAATCGCATATCAGTCCAATTTGGAAAAAAAATAGGTAATTGAGAAATTGGCAGTCGTAGTTACGAAGTGCAATTCTCATGTAAATATTTGAAAAATCATAGTTAATTTATTGATAATTATTTCAAGTTAATATCTGTCACAATGAAGCTTGCATGGTCTGTTATATCAGCAAAAAATATGGCAATTCGAAAAGCAGAACTGTAACTTGAACTATGGACGACTGAATTTCAGGATGGGACTGATATGCAATTACTTTGCTTGATGGGACAAACTGACTTGATGTTGTCTTCATATTTTTCATGATCAAAATGCATAGTTTTATCATCTATATATATAAAAATGAATTTCTGTCTGTCTGTCTGTCTGTCTGTCTGTCTGTCTGTCTGTCTGTCTGTCTGTCTGTCTGTCTGTCTGTCTGTCTGTCTGTCTGTCTGTCTGTCTGTCTGTCTGTCTGTCTGTCTGTCTGTCTGTCTGTCTGTCTGTCTGTCTGTCTGTCTGTCTGTCTGTCTGTCTGTCTGTCTGTCTGTCTGTCTGTCTGTCTGTCTGTCTGTCTGTCTGTCTGTCTGTCTGTCTGTCTGTCTGTCTGTCTGTCTGTCTGTCTGTCTGTCTGTCTGTCTGTCTGTCTGTCTGTCTGTCTGTCTGTCTGTCTGTCTGTCTGTCTGTCTGTCTGTCTGTCTGTCTGTCTGTCTGTCTGTCTGTCTGTCTGTCTGTCTGTCTGTCTGTCTGTCTGTCTGTCTGTCTGTCTGTCTGTCTGTCTGTCTGTCTGTCTGTCTGTCTGTCTGTCTGTCTGTCTGTCTGTCTGTCTGTCTGTCTGTCTGTCTGTCTGTCTGTCTGTCTGTCTGTCTGTCTGTCTGTCTGTCTGTCTGTCTGTCTGTCTGTCTGTCTGTCTGTCTGTCTGTCTGTCTGTCTGTCTGTCTGTCTGTCTGTCTGTCTGTCTGTCTGTCTGTCTGTCTGTCTGTCTGTCTGTCTGTCTGTCTGTCTGTCTGTCTGTCTGTCTGTCTGTCTGTCTGTCTGTCTGTCTGTCTGTCTGTCTGTCTGTCTGTCTGTCTGTCTGTCTGTCTGTCTGTCTGTCTGTCTGTCTGTCTGTCTGTCTGTCTGTCTGTCTGTCTGTCTGTCTGTCTGTCTGTCTGTCTGTCTGTCTGTCTGTCTGTCTGTCTGTCTGTCTGTCTGTCTGTCTGTCTGTCTGTCTGTCTGTCTGTCTGTCTGTCTGTCTGTCTGTCTGTCTGTCTGTCTGTCTGTCTGTCTGTCTGTCTGTCTGTCTGTCTGTCTGTCTGTCTGTCTGTCTGTCTGTCTGTCTGTCTGTCTGTCTGTCTGTCTGTCTGTCTGTCTGTCTGTCTGTCTGTCTGTCTGTCTTTCTGTCTGTCTGTCTGTCTGTCTGTCTGTCTGTCTGTCTGTCTGTCTGTCTGTCTGACCCTTATAGACTCGGAAACTACTGAACCGATTGGCGTGAAAATTTGTATACAGGGGTTTTTGGTGCCGTGGAAGGTTCTTATGATGGTTCAAGACCCCTCCCCCTTCTGAAAGGGGGGGCTCCCATACAAATGAAACAGAAATTTCTGCATAACTCGAGAACTAATCAAGCAAATGGAACCAAATTAGGCATGTGTGGGGGTATAAGGAGATAATCATTGGGGGTAGCCCCTTAGATAATAGGGGGGGGGGGGCTACGTAAAATATAGCATGCTTTTTTTTAATTCGGCGCATAAACTCAAGCTAATATTGAATCCCGAGCAAGACCGGGCAAGCTAATATTGAATCCCGAGCAAGACCGGGCACACTCAGCTAGTATAATATGAAAGTAGATGCCAATTGATAGTGGATACCGTTGTTATTTCAAAATAGACGAAAATCCATATGGGACTGATATGCGATTATAGGCAGTATAGTAAAGATCTTCTGAAATTCGCTTTAGTATTCCCTTGGAAATTTCTTCAAAATCTTTTGGAATATTATTCATAGTTTCTTTGGAATATGCTCCAATGAATTATATTTGGAATTATATTGAAACTATCTTCTAGTTTGAAATTTGGCATAGAATTTTGTGAGCTTTTTTTCAGAATCTATTGATTAATCTACATTAAAGAGATTTTCAGTCGAAGATTATTGGGCGTAGTTCCTGGATTGCAGTCATGTAGTCAAGTTTGTCGTAGGGTTAATTCACTTTGAAGGAAGGAGGTTCTGAATTCCCTTAGAATGCTCCCTGAAATTACTTCCTGTTTGCTTCAGAGATCCCTGAAATTATACTCATAATCCCCACTAACTTCTCAAAATTACCTGCCATTTCTGTTCAAATTCCATCGAAATTCTATTCAAAATTGATTTAGAATTATCCTTCCTTTATAATTATCCTCAAAACTCATCTGGCATTTTCATCATAATTCTCTAGCCAATGCTTCATAGTGTTAGAATTTTAAAATTTGGCATGATTTTTTTGTTTAATTCTCAGATCTTTTATATTGTGCAATATTTTAATTAAAAAATCTCGCATTCTTGAATGTGAAAAACTGGCCTAGTCTCAACATGTTGATAACTTGTCATGCAATCTTCGAAAATATGTTAAGACGCAGTATTCAAATGTTCGATGATCTCATTATTTTCTAAAATTATTATTATTATTATTATTTAACTTTATTAAGGAGGCTTTCAGCCTTGGGCTGGTTCGCCTCCAACTTTTCTAAAATTATCAGATCGATCAAAAAATGTGGCTTAGTACCGAATTCGAATAATTTACTTTAATTTAGATACATATACAAATTCTGAGACTTTTAGGAGCATTGCAATTTGCGGAGTGTATTATTTGAGTGTATATATTAGTTTGAAGAACTTTCGCTTATGTACATTTTTTATGTTTCTCAATACAAGCATTTTTTTTTTTAAATTATAGAAATTTTATTGTAGAAAGACTGCTGACATTTTTTTTCATTTGAAACTTTCTAAAAGAATCCATCTATCAGTTCACACGAAAAATCAATGTTTTCGTGGTGTTCTAAGATTTTCGAATAAAAGTTATTGAATATTAACAACCAGGAAATTGTTTAGGTTTGAATCGGGAAAAGCAGGAAAAAGTCGGGCATTGTGTTGTTAAATTGTGTATCATAGACCCAACGGTGGGCGGAACTTCCAAAGAATATGGAACAGTTATGCGTTCACCAGTAGTACGAACCTGTTTCAATACCTTCCGGTCAGTGTTGGCAAAATCTACAATCAAATGATATTTTTCCGCTTTCATACGCTGTCAACATCACCTCCAGCTTGCTATTGATTTAACAAGCCCCTTCGATACTGCGAGACTATTCATTGGTTTGCTACTGCTCTTTACTCTTCACCGTTGGCAGGCACGAAGCTACCGTTGCCAACAGTGACGGTAGTTTCGGGTCGCGTTCGGCAGTCAAGCAAAAATCATGAAACTCAAACTCACCCCGGTTTGGTTAGAATTGTAGCTGGTGAGTTTTGGTTAGCTTGATATTCGTCGCTGCGATATCACAGCTTGCAATATCAACCTCAGTTGTTTGCTTGTTGATTGTTGTCTGCGAAAGTCAAGCGTAAGCTTGGGCATTGGTGAGATTTGATTTTTGGCTATTTTCCGATAGTGAGAGTATCGTAAAAGATTTTGCGAATCATGCGGATCTTATGATACTAGGTCAATCTTGTCGTTTCATTAGAATTTCATTGAAATCGGCAAAATGTTCATCCATTATGCCCTTTCTAAATTTTTCCATTCCTCACATCAATAAACTAACCTCAACTTTTCCACCCCCTTTCTTCTCGCAATTCCAGATATAGAGATGACGTCGGTCACAACCAGTACCCACTTCTTCCAGAATGGAAACTCGGCCCAGTTCGAGTACATGCTGAACCTATACCCGGAGGTGCTGAAGGTGAAGGCGGAGAACCGTGGCCTCGGCAAGAAGGCGGACCGGCTGATGCGCCTGGACGAGTGGTACCAGAACACGCTGCCGAAGTTGATCCAGAAGCGCGGCCCCAAGGATGCCCACCTGTTGCACGAGGAGCTGTGCCAGACGATGGAGTGGAAGCAGAACCGGGGGAAGTCCTATCCCCAGCTGTCCTATCTGATCAAGATCAACACCCCGCGGGCCGTGATGATGGAAACGAAGAAGGCCTTCCGCAAGCTGCCCAATCTGGAGCAAGCGCTGAATGCGCTGTCCAATCTGAAGGGCGTCGGGACAACGATGGCGTCGGCTCTGTTGGCAGCGGCCTGTCCGCAGACGGCCCCCTTCATGGCGGACGAGTGCCTCATGGCGATTCCGGAGTTCGAGAGCATCGACTACACGGCCAAGGAGTATCTCAAGTTTGTGACGTACATTCAGCAGACCATGGACCGGTTGAACAAGGAAGCTCACGGTGCGGAGATGGAAAACAACGGCGAGAATGGAGACGACGAACCGAAGCCGAAAAAGTGGACCGCCCACAAGGTGGAGCTGGCCCTGTGGGCACACTCTGTCGCTTCGGATTTGCAGCCGGATTTGCTGAAAGGAATGCCGGAGAACAACGGAATCGCGGCTGGCTCGGCTGTAACCGTTTCGGTGGCCAACGGAAGTGCAGCGTCGGAGGTGTCCTCCGATGTGGACAATGAGGACGACAGCTCTCAGAATGGTGTCCCCCCGTCGGACGAGAGCAACCTGGACAGCGAGAGTGCCTCCAAGGATGCCGTCCTCAGCAACGGTATCATGAATGCGGACAGCTTAGACGGATCGGAGAACGGAGTGGAGACGATGGCTTTGGCAGAGACACCAGCAACAACAACAAAAGCAGAGGCAGGAGCTGCAGCAGCAACGGAAACCGCCGCGGAGGTCCCTGCCGACAGCCTAGATGATTGCACCAAATCGGGCGATAGCCTGGACGAGGCACCGGCCGTGGAGGCAACGGCAGCCGCCGTGGCCACCCTGTGCACCGCCGACGGCGAGGACTCTCAGAGCAGCAACAGCCAGAAACGTCCGCTCTACTGCGACGAAAACTCCGAGGAACAACCGGAGCTCAGCGCTCCCAAGCTGATAAAGCTGTAGATCTCCCCCCGGGGGTTGGGCGCACGAGCGAGCGAAAGAGCGAGAAAGAGTATGACCGAGCGATTGATGATGAGCGTGAGTTTTGACGACGACGACGACGACGACGAAGCAGTGGTAGTAACGGTTATTCCCAACAAACACGCTGGTAAGGTTTTCTTTTGGAAATTATTCCCCACCCCCCCCCCATTCTTGGAACTCTTGGAATCGCCGGCCGGCGATCTACTTGCTCTAATCTAATTCTTAATTATATATTGTATTTTATTCGTAATTATTTTATTTACAAACCAGCATTATCGGATTAGCAATAGTTCGTAGAAGCAGTTAAGCAACAGCAGCAGCAGCACTATCCACATTTTTTTTTCATTTTAAAGAATTGATCCGCCAGGGAAGTTATCGCGCTCCTTACGAGAGAAACGATGCGTTTTGGTAGGCCTTAGGTGAAAAAAAAGCAGGAACATTTCCTCCGGAAAAAGCAAACAAATAATCATACAGCAACAGCAACAAATGCGTGTTCATTGGTCTCATTTTCCCCCATTGTTTACTGACACTGTGGATCGATTTGCGGTGCGGGTGGGTGGCGGCGTCCCATTTTTCGATTTATGATTCTCCGTGGGAAAAAAACGGTTTCGAGTGGAGTGGTTTCGCTTTAATGTTTATGTCCTTGCAGGCGTTAATTGAGTGAGGTGTTCTACTTTTTCCAAAAATAGGATGGACGGCGGGGTGTGTTCGAAAATTACGCGACTGTCGATTTTGTCGGCGGTGGACGAGATTTCAAAAAAAAAGTTCTCTCTTGTGGTTAAATATTTTTTTTATTTTTTATAAAATCTTTGATTTAAACAGGCCCGATGTTTCTGAATCATCTTGCCCCTTAAATGCTACACAGTAGGCTTGGCCGTTATGATATATTTTGCGCATCTCAGTTGTGCAACATGTACCAAATATACAAGAAAATGATGGAGGTATATCTATCCAGGATCTAAATAAACTGGAGTTTGTGACATTGCAACTGTTCATCTACAATTTGAATTAATTATTTGCAAAATGTAACAGACCATTTGTGCAGAATGTTTTCCCTGCATCAATTCGCATTTTTCGAACGACCTCGCCCTTAATCAAAAATCCAATTTCCATCCTACCATAGTACCATGTTTCATAATTCGATTGAATCCATCGCTGCATCAATATTGGATGTGCAGAGCAGTGAAACACGTCCCTTGGAATTCCTAAGCCCAAGTAAAAAAAATGCTCTCTTTCAACCGACGGCAGCCACGGTTACGACAGGAAAAAATGAATGTCATCTCATCGCAACAACAACAGCGACCTGGAATGAATGCAAAATCCTGTTTTCACTCACCATTTTCGCCTATGAAAAAAAGTTCCCCACCCCATTTTGCCCCATTTACGGGACGTGTACGTGGCGGATGACTTCGAAACTTGTTAACCTCACTTTTCTCGAATGAAAACAAACCACCAGGGAACTGTCAAAAGCACACACCACCACCGCCTAACAAACTCGATCCCCAAACAACACTGCAAGCAAACAAAAATGTCAAGTTCAACCGAAAGAAAGTGACTTATTAGAAACTAAGGCGTAAGAAGACATTCGTTACATCAAAACAAAAATAACAACCACCCTCCCCCGAGTAATATTCTGATGAAAAAAAAAACGTATCAAACAAAGGGAGAAGGAACGATTGCGAGCGACACCATTTTCTCGGCCCGCTTGGATTTGACAGCCGAGATTTCCACCATTTTAAAATCATTACAAACAAGTAAACAAACAAACATATAGACGCTAGGATTTTTTTTTCTTCAGTTCTTTTTGACTCTTATAGGAAGTAAGCAAATCAAACAAACACAAACGGTAAACGTTAAAACCGTGGATTCTTTTGTTCTCACAATGTGAGAACGGCAGCGAATGTGAGCGCAAAAGAGAGAGGGAGAATGCGCCGAAGTTGAAGTGAAATTTAAACATGCCCCAAACACTACATAGGAATGGATATATATTTTTGATAGACTCTATTTATACTTAATGACAATGGCGACAGCAGAAAGGTAAACAAATCAATTCCCATTTCTTTTTCGCGGAGCGCAAAACACACAAAAGAAAAAAAACAATGGCGGAGCGCGGGTGCGCTCCGCAGCTGAAATATGTATACAAATTATTTAGGATGTTAACAACAAATACACTCTTACATACAACTGCGGACGATGCTGATTGGTGAAGTGGGGAATGTGGACTCTATTGCCTACCCTTCACTTTGGTTGCGTGCGCCATCGTTTGACAGTTCGACTGTTCGACAGTTGGACAGTCGACAGTGGCGACGAGAGGACCACCGTTGAGGTTAGGTTGTTCGTTCATTTCTCCGATCGTTCGATCTCCGATCGAAAAGTAAAGTATAATAAAGTAAATTTACACGGAATAAAATACAATTCATTTACTGATCGTATAAATATTTAATCTGAGAAGTGGTTAAAAGTCAGCAGGCATAAATATAAAAACAAACAGAAAATCATCAAGTTAGGAATCATCGCTGCTGCACATAAACCCCCCCGTTAAGGACATTCTTTATCCATGAAAATGAAAATAATTAAACATAAAAAATATACAAACAACATCCACACACACACACAACAAACCTTTAGTTCTAACGAGTCTTAGTGGTATATTGCATAACATTAATAATAAAAATACAACCATCCCAAAAAAATAGGACAAAAACATTCCCGCGGCGTCTTCGTTGCTTACTCCATCCGAAACTCCTAAAACCTCATACAGCAGCGCCGACGAGTGACGCAACAGTGGCAAAACACGAAGTAGTAGGCTTAGCAGGTTTCGTCCTTAAATGGGCATGCGGCTGCTGCGCCGAACGGGTTGCCCTCCATGGCACCAAAAGAATGCAACGCACCGCCGAGCCGCGCTCCCAAAAAGGAAAGAAGTTTTGCCTTTCTAGGGGTCCGCTTGCAATCAAGCATTACTCACCGAGAGCACGTCGAGGGTTGACGGTAATTCAATGCGAAATTTGTGGCAAGTGCTGTCTGACAGGTCGATTGCAAGGCGAATTTCGATCGTCGTAGATTTGTGCCATGAAAGTAGTTTTATAGGGGTCTAATTCACTAAAAGTTACTCAGGTTAGTACTCGGGACAACTAGAAGTCGTGCAATAATTAAGAGATTGGATCGAAAATGGTAATCAAGAATTCGCATATTATTATTTTTTGACGTTGGACTACGTCTGTGATTTCTGTATGGGGGTACACTTTGTGAAAACCGAAAATGGAACATGTAACAACATTATGAAAGATTTTGAACGTTAATAACTCAGCTGCCCCTGGACCAATTTCAATAATTTTATCACCAATGGATCAGAAAGATTTCGACGCATCTTTTTAATTCAAGACTTAATCATTTTTCAAAATGCCACTATTGAAAATTGCACGAATGTTACTATGATAATTAAAATTATCACCGATGCCTGTGAAAAGTACTTTCCCTAATAATTGAATTCCTTCCGGTCTCACCGAGCTGTGTTCATTCAATCTCTGCGAGTGGTGGTGTTCTCCAGTACACAACGAAAGGCTCCCCGCAAGCAGCTAGCTATCATGGCTGGCCTCAACCGCTGCACACTGGGGACAAAATCGAAACAATGTGTTAAAATTCAATAACTTCGGTGCTCGCTGGAACAAGAGACTAAACAATAGTCATTCTTATAGAAAAAAGTCTCAGGAATCGATTGGAGTGGGTTTCATCTTGGGCACGATAGGGTAAGTTGGGGTTTTTCACAGTTTTGCCCTAAAATCTCCTATTTTGCATGATTTGAATGCTGTATCTCAAGATACCGATGATATAGACAGATGATTTCTTCGGCAAAGTTGATCAGGAGGTCAAGGACTGTTGGATGATGGACAGAACAATTCGGAATTCTTCCGCTAGGTGGCGCTAGTGAGCATTCGAAGTGTATATGTTTGTGCTGCTGTATCTCAAGATCCTGACTATTTAGACGGATGATTTCTTCGGCAAAGTTGATCAGGAGGTCAAGGACTGTTGGATGATGGACAGAACAATTCGGAATTCTTCCGCTAGGTGGCGCTAGTGAGCATTCGAAGTGTATATGTTTGTGCTGCTGTATCTCAAGATCCTGACTATTTAGACGGATGATTTCTTCGGCAAAGTTGATCAGGGGGTCAAGGATTGTTGGATGATGGACAGAACAATTCGTAATTCTTCCGCTTGGTGGCGCTAGTGAGCATTCGAAGTGAATATATTTGTGCTGCTGTATCTCAAGATCCTGACTATTTAGACGGATGATTTCTTCGGCAAAGTTGATCAGGAGGTCAAGGACTGTTGGATGATGGACAGAACAATTCGGAATTCCTCCGCTAGGTGGTGCTAGTGAGCATTCGAAGTGAATATGTATCTCAAGATCCTGACTATTTAGACGGATGATTTCTTCGGCAAAGGATTGTTGGATGATGGACAGAGCAATTCGGAATTCCTCCGCTAGGAGGCGCTAGTGAGCATTCGAAGTGAATATGTATCTCAAGATCCTGACTATTTAGACGGATGATTTCTTCGGCAAAGTTGATCAGGGGTCAAGGAATGTTGGATGATGGACAGAACAATTCGGAATTCCTCCGCTAGTTAGAGATATCTATGATCTTCTCTGGCTATTACGTCCCAACTGTAACTTAACGCCTGCTCTCAACTTAGTGCTCTAGATGCACTTCCACAGTTGTTAATTGAAAGCTTTCCAAGCCTGTTCGATTTTAACATGTGTATATTGTGTGGCAAGTACAATAATATACTATGCCCAGGGAAGTCGAGAAATTTTCCAATCTGAAATCCTAGACCAACCGGGATTCGAACCCAGCCACCTACAGCATGGTTTGCTTTATAGTAGCAGACTCTACCGACCGAGCTTATGGAGGCCCCCTGATCTATGAATGTAATCAAACTAAAATGCAAGATGGTAGCCTAATTAACAAGTTTTGAGGACAATTTGGTGAACCTAGAACGTCTTAAACATATCGAATTCAAACGTAAATAATGTACATGATATGTTTAACCCTGTTTGGAGATGCTTTAATACAAAGGGCTTTGAATCTGTGAACCTGGATGAGAATTTGATCTGAACTCAAGGACAATTTGGAGAACCGTTTACTTGACTTTGTGTCTATGGCACTGTCGAAAGCACCTGCGGCTGTTGCGCAAGGTGTTAAAAACTGGATTGGTTAATTTAATCGGTGATGGTCAAAAACCCACAGTAAGGATCGATTCTTTAAGAAGAATGCAGAGTGGCTTGAAAGCATATTCGAGGTAAGAATCCATGGGCGTGCTTAATTTTAGAAAGTAGCATAAATTAACGAATAAACGTTTGTAATACGATACCGTCGAACATTAAAAAAATGAACAGTTCGGAAAAATTGTACCTGTTGAGCGAAGTGCTAAATTTTCAAAAAAACAACGGATTCCAAACCAATTTAAATTGAACTTGAATGAAAATTAGTAAAAGCGTGGAAATGCGTTAATGATAAGCAAGACATACTACTGATAAAATCTGTTTTTGTTCATGCTACTAAATAATCAATAGCATCAACCGCGATTAGAAGAAGATTTGATATTTGTATGAATATTTTATAAAAAATCCTAAACAAAAACTACTAAGAATTGTTCTGTCTATCATCCAACAGTCCTTGACCTCCTGATCAACTTTGCCGAAGAAATCATCCGTCTATATCATCGGTATCTTGAGATACAGCATTCAAATCATGCAAAATAGGGACCTCCCTTAGCTCAGTCGGTAAAGGCACAGCTACAAAGCAAGACCATGCTGGAGGTGGCTGGGTTCGATTCCCGGTCCGGTCTAGGAATTTTTCGGGTTGGAAAATTTCTCGACTTCCCTGGGCATAAAGTATGATTGTACTTGCCACACAATTATACCAATGCAAAAATGGTACAGGCATCGAAAGCTCTCAATTAATAACTGTGGAAGTGCATCTAGAACACTAAGTTGAGAGCACGGAATAAGCTAATATGCCATACGCAATAAGCTTGAAATGCGAGGAAGAAGAAGAAGAAAATAGGAGATTTTAGGGCAAAACTGTGAAAAATTCCAACTTACCCTATCGTGCCCAAGATGAAACCCACTCCAATCGATTCCTGAGACTTTTTTCTATAAGGATGACTATTTTTTAGTCTCTTGTTCCAGCGAGCACCGAAGTTATTGAATTTTAACACATTGTTTCGATTTTGTCCCCAGTGTGCGCTGATCGGATTCAGTTCCAATCACTGTGTGTGGTGGTGTCCGGTCGTCGGCATCAGCAGCAGCAGCAGAAACAGTGCTTTCGGTACGTGGCGTTGAACATTGTTCTCCAGTATACAACGAAAGGCTGTCTCCAAGCAGCGAGTTGCAGCCCACTTGAGCATCCATAGAAGGAGGAAAAAGCCGCACCGCTATTGATCGGAATCAGTAGCTCTTTGTGAGTCGCTGTGGGCCATCTATGTCAAGCGCGTCATACTAAAGAGTATAAACAAAAAAAAAATTTATAGCAAGTGATTGGAAGCAAGCCTGATGGCGGCTTCTGATTGAAAGAAAAACTGGGAAATACTGCCAAATTTCCCACAATATTGGTATTTTTTGGAATCTTGGTGGAGGGGGGGGGGCGACTCTATCTACGATGCGGTAAAAAATGTGTTTTGCTGTGGTTAGCTGCGCGCTTACTGAGTAGATATGAAGAAGATTGATGACGATTTTGAAGATTTCCTGCAAAAAGATGATGTGCGATGCAAGTAGATGCGAGAAATCAAAGAAGATTTTTCGAAGTATGATTCGCTAGTGTGAGATTTGTTGAGCATTTAAAATTGAGATTTAGATGTGTCGCCCCCCTCGGTCTGATGGCATTTTGAAATTCAAGATGGCGGTTTCAGGTTGGAAACAAAAGCTTGAAAATTCTGTCGAATACCCCGCAATATTTTTGGAGTTGGGGTGACGTGTGAGGACCGGAAATCGATGTCTGAGGCCGTTTTGAAATTCCATATGTTGGCTTCCGGTTGTAAAAAAAAGTTGAAAATACTGTCAAATACCCCACAAAACTGCTATTTTTGGAATCGGGGTGACGTGTAGGTACCGAAAATCAATGTCTAACGCCTTTTTTAAATTCAATATGGCGGCTTCCGATTAGAGAAAAATTGAGAAATACTGCCAAATTACCCTCAATATTGGTATGTTTGGAATCGGGGTGACGTGTAGGGACCGGAAATCGATATCTGAGGCAGTTTTGAAATTCAATATGGCGGCTTCCGGTTAGAGAAAAACTGGGAAATACTACCAAATTACCCACAATATTGGGTATTTTTGGAATCTTGGTGACGTTTAGGGACCGAAAAACCATGTCTGACGCCTTATTGAAATTAAAAATGGTGGTTTCCGGTTAGAGAAAAACTTGGAAATACTGCAAAATTACCCACAATATTGGTAGTTTTGGAAACGAGGTAACGTGTAGGGACCGGACATCGATGTCTGAGGCCGTTTTAAAATTTAAGATGGTGGCTTCCGGTTAGAGAAAAACTTGGAAATTCTGTCAAATACCTCACAATATTGGTATTTTTGGAGACGGGGTGACGTGTAGGGACCGGAAATCGATGTCTGAGGCCGTTTTGAAATTCAAGATGGCGGCTTCCAGCTAAAGAAAAACTTGAAAATTCTGAGTTGGTTGGAAATGC